TCTCTCCCTCACACACACCAACACTAATAATACAGTCTTCTGCAAGAACAACCAGTGTTCTTAACCACTGAGCCATCTCTCCAGCCCAATAAAATAAATTATTTTAAAATTGAAAAAACACCACATAGTCATAGTTCATCTCTAATGCAGCATATGAGAACCCATAATGCAGAATAACACTTTGAATGTAATGAATTTGGGAAGCCGCTACCCAGATGTAGCCTGAAAAATAGTAATTCCTCCGAGGAATGTAAGCCAGCCAGGGGCGGAGCCCCCTTTGGAGAGTTAGCAGCATGGAAGGAGGAGGTGTGTGGCTGCTGCAGAAAATGGCCATGGGAGGGAGCCTTCCAAGAAGGGAAAAGGGAAGAAAATTTAGTGCGACACCAGAGCATTCAGCTCACTTTGCATCTAAAACCACACACTGGGAGTAATCCCTTTGTATGTACTGAGTGTGACAAAGCCTACAGACACAAGTCATCCCTTACTCATAAGAAGATCCATACTGGACAAAAAAACATTTGAATGTGATTATTGTGGAAAAGCTTTCTGTTGGAATATCACCTAACTCAACAACAAAGAATTCACACTGTAGAGAAACCCTACAAATACCAAGTATGCAACAAATCACTAGCAGAAATACACACTTAGTCAACATCAGACTGAAGAGAAACCCTACAAGTGTAGGGAGTGTAGGGAAACCTTTGGTGAGCGTGCATATCACACTCAACAGTAGAGGGTGAACATGAGGGGAAAACCCTATCAGCACAAGGAATGTCAAAAACCCTTTATTGTAAATGTATCTCTTGTTCAATATAAAAGTATTCATAAGAGAAAGAAGTCTTAAGGACTTGCCACACATAAGGAATTTCAGATGGAGAATAGTTCAACAAATATACTTAATGTGGGAGCTATCACAACATGAATACAGATATTCTTCAACTTCAGTAAATTGACAAAAGAACTCCTATAAAAAAAAACATGAACCTTGTTAAATGAATTCCTATTTCAGTGGGATTCTCAGTTAGCTATTAGGTTCTAACTGAGTAAGAGTGGAGGTTAAGCAGTTTTTAAAATGACCGTTATTTTAGTTTTAGAATTGTACCTTACCTTGGCACAACAAAGATAAGGACCTTGAAAAAAACCTTTTATTCATATATATATATATATGTGTGTGTGTGTGTGTGTGTGTGTGTGTGTGTCCATGAACATATCTTAAAATTATCAAGGATGATAATATTAGCATGCATTTTTTTTTAATGTATAAGTTAAGTAGCCACAGTTTTTTTTCCCTAGGACACAAAATGATGCACAAAGACAATTACATGGGGCTGGGGAGGTGGCTTAGTGGTTCAAGTGCTTGCCATGCAAACCTGACAACCTTGTTCTGACAATTCCCAGAACCCACATAAAAGCCTATAATTCCAACACCCCTACAAGGAAATGAGAGGCAGAGACAGGAGAGTCTCCAGAAGCCCAGTATCTACAGTGGTGAATGACAAAACAAGACCTTTTTTCAAACAAGGTAGAGAGGAGGATTGACATCTGAGGTTGTCCTCTGACCTCCACATGCATACTGTGGCACAGGAGTACCTGTGTTCACACACATGAATGTGTGTACACACATATGAAATTTAAAAAAATAATTTAAAAATAAATAGAGGCTGGAGAGATGGCTCAGTGCTTAAGAGCACTGACTGCTCTTTCAGAGTACCTGGGTTCAATTCTCAGCACTCACATGGCAGCTAACAACCATCCATGACTCCAGTTCCAGTTTGGACACACTATTCTGATCTCCTTGGGCATTGCACAACATAGGTATAAAATTAAAAATAAATAAATAAAGGCGGGCATTGTGGCTCACACCTATAATCCTAGCACTCGGGAGGCAGAGGCAGGCAGATCTCTGTGAGTTCAAGGCCAGCCTGGTCTACATAGTGAGTTCCAGGACAGCTGGACAAAAAAATAAAAAATAAAAAATAAAAAATAAAATAAAGACAGTTGCATGAAACAATTATGAATACACATAACAGCTGAACAGCAGACAGGATGACAGATAAACTATTACATGAAAACAATTATCAACATTGTAATAAGAAACTCAAAGAACATTCAACAAGATTACATTGAACCATTGACCAGGCCCAAGTGAAGGCAAAGACAAAGAGTGAAAGTCTACCGTGTAGACTTAAAGGTAAAAGCAAAGAACCCTATGAGGGAGGAGAAGAACATGGAGAGGGGGTGTGGCTGGAGGTATTTGAGAAGCTTCTTGGAAACTTGGATGGATAGACTACTGTTTTAAAAGTATTTCAGAGCCAGGTGTGGTGGTGCACGTCCTTAGTCCCAGCACTCGGGAGGCAGATACAGGTGGATCTCTATGAGTAGTTCCAGGTCAGCTGGGGCTACAGGGAGACCCTGTCTCAAAAAGACCCCCCCCAAAAAAAAGTATTTCAGGCCAGACATAGTGACACACACCTTTAATCCCTGGCTGCAGAGGTAGGTGGATCTCAGAATGACTAGGGTAGATGGGAAGAGGAAGGCACCGAAGAACGAGGAACCGTCAGAGAAATCCCCTGAGAAAGGAAAATATCTGACTTTTACATTCCTTCAGGGAGTGGGATGAAATTTCACACCATGTGATTTAGTCTGGAATAGCCTACGGGTGACATGGAGCAAGGAGGAACCAGGTACTGGGTAAGACCATAAATTAGGGGCTTTAAAAACTACAGCACAGCAGGACTTCTTAACTCTGTGTCCCAGAGAGAAAAAGAGGGAAAGAGAGAGTGTGTGTGTTGAGAGGGCAAGAGGGGGGTGTGACTTGATTTCCTGGAGCTGTGCAATATGGCTGCTTAGAGTGACCAGAATCTTAAAGGGATAGGCCCATGATCTAACACTTGGGTCTGAATCAGACTCATCAAGGCAACTCCCCTGACCCCTCCACCCCAGCTGGGAAAAGTAGCAGAGGTGCAATGCCACAGTGAGGGTGCAGCAGTTCTAAGGCAAATGCCAGAGGCTAAGCACACATTGTTCCTGTCCTCTTGGTAAGGTGTGAGGAACACTTGAAAGGCAACAGGGAATGACAGCAAGGGCCACAGTGGGAAGAGATAGGGAAAAATGAGAGAGAGGAAAGGGGAATGAAGGCGTTCTTAAAGAGGGAGGGAAGCTAAGCACAGGAATTCCTTAACTTGAAGGGCCAACTTGATTGGTCACCAGGGACATTAGAGTGAAGAGTGGGTGAGGGGTTAAGAGAGCTCAGGAGACAGGGTGAGACCTGAATGCAAGGGAATCCAGGACTCTTTCCAAGGTAAAGATGGCAATCAGGGAGATCTTTAGATTGGCAAGATTGGTAGGGTTTTTTGTTTTGTTTGGAAATACTGTGCCCTGCTGCGGCTCATAGCAGAAGGAGTTAAAATAGGAAGCTGGGACAGCTCTACCTCTATTTCTCTCCCAGCCAGACTTCCTGACCAAAGTAGATTAACCAGATTTCCCAAACTGCTGAGATACCCGCCCACTTACTGTCAACCTTAGTCTGTGAGTACTCCTTCCAGATTAATCCTGTCTGACCAGCTGGACTGAGTAATTCTGAAGGGAAACCAGGTTGGGAACGCTGGTGCTGTACTTGGCAGGGCAGGTGGGAGTATAGCTTAAGCCAGCATGGACACTAGATACAGAGGTATCAAGTGACAGTTTGTGGCCAAACTCAGACTGAGGTCAAGGTAGAAGTGTGAAGGATTTGTATCTGAAGAGCCTCACAATATCCCAAGGCGATTCTCAGTAGGAATCTGGTAATAAACTCCAGTTCTGAAGCTACTCAACCTCCTCCTAGCCATGCAACTTGGGACAATGGGCCTGCCTGTACCACAGATTCTTCATCTTCAAATGGGGGCAACAGTCACAATATCTACTAAGCATTCTGCCAGAAAATAAGTAAGAAGCTCTTGGGAGCATGCCTGGCTCAGGGTCGGCATTCTCAAATAATGGCTGTTACTGTTCTTAACCTGGTCCTGTGTTAATAAAGAACATTGGGCAAGAGTTGGTCTGCCACACAGACCTTCCTTGCCAAAGCAGGGGTGAACACTGGACAGTACCACCTGGCTTCCCTGAAGGCAGACCTGTCTTCTGGGGTATTCTCCCCTTGGCCTCAGCAGGCACAGCCAGGTCAGGGCCCTGGGAAGCCCCTGGAGGATTGGTCCACCACTGCCAGTGTCCTCTGGGCCAGAGGCCTGAGCCTTTCCTTCAGATAGCTATGTGCTGGAACTCATCTTCCGTGTTGTGACATGGAAGAAATGACAATGCAATTCCTCATTCCTGTCTCGGCTCACAAGTTACCCTGGTGATTGCTTATCCAGGCAGTTTCACGCTGAACCTTCCCCGACAAGGAACGAGGCGCGCACAGAGCTTGGTGCTACCAGCCTTGGAACTACATTTCCCAGAAACCTATGCTACTCACTTGCCCCTCAGGAGTCCAGGCAGCTGGAGGGAAGAGGAAGGGGGTTGGGGGAGGGTCTCTAGGCTTCCTGAGAAAAGGTGTCAACGCCTGCGCAACGCATGGCCTCCTAGGAAATGTAGTTCGCACCAGCTCCGCGCAGGCGCAGTTCCCCACGGTGGCTGCTGAGCTGCTCTTTGTGGAGGTCGCTGTCCTTGTTTGGAAACGAGTCCGCAGGCTCACCCGACAGTCCGAGTGTTCATTGATCTGTTAGTCCCTTGGTCCTGGGGTTTGTCTGCCAGCTGTGCTCCGCTCCTACTGCCTCCGGCGACAGAGTCCGAGGCCTAACTCCGCAAGGGATACGAAGCTGAGCTTGTGTGCTGGCGACCGAGCTGGGGCTGGGTGTGGGCGTGTCCGCGCCTGAGAGTGGCTGAGCGGAGCCCGGCGTGGGTTGAGCCTGGTCTTGGTGGTGAGAGCCGTGCGACCCCACGAGGTTGCTCTGCAGGCCGCCGCCCCTGAACCTTGGCAGCGAGACCTGATTCCGGGTCACGGAGACTACCGAACTGCAGACGCTCCGAGAGTCGCCATGGAGACGCTGGAACTCGGGCAGACAGGTACACCTTCGCTCTGTCTCAGTGGTTACGGATTTGCACCTAAGGAGAAAAACACTCAGAGTCAGGCCAGATTACCAGAAGCAGCATCACATCTGGCCTGGTTGTCTATCACAAGCATTTGTTCCCCTTCTCGTTTTTTGAAGGGAGGAAAGAAACCACCACGTGTTCCTCCTTAACTGATGTGTTTGAGGCACTGAGAGGCAGAGTTGACCCCAGATGCTGTGTCACGTTGTGCCAAATATCAGGGGCCCTCCCCTCCACTATACCTGCCCGAGCAGCAGCTACCTCTGACTGTGCCAAGGCTGGGTGGGTTTTAGCTCAGTCATGAGTCTGGTGGGTGTGTACAAGCTTGACTTATTTCTTGACTCATTTCTCCATCCTCAGCTGTTTTTGTTCAGGACCCTGCTCTTTCTCCCAAAGAGAATCCCCAGAATAAGTCAGATTGGGGGCTCCTGGAAGCCAGATCTGAGGTGAGTGGCTGTCTTTTCTTATTTATGAAAAGGATGGCAACATTGCTTTTCCCATTCCTGGATCTGTGTTCAGCCATGTACCCACATTTAGACACTTGCTCCCCAGTTCTTAGGGAGTTCTCGGTAGTGGGAACAGTACCAAATGAAGAATCCAGATGGTACCTGGGTGTACAGAGGGTATGAACTCTGGAAACATCCCTTCCAGCTAGACTCAGACCACTGGGTGGGTCAGAGCCCTGAGGAATGGTTTTCATCCAAGATCATTTGCTTATCTCCACATGCTGGCCAGAGTTGGGAGACCCAGAGGATGTTTGGGGGTGGGGGTTTACTGGGGTGGACCAGGCAGGGATATATGGGACCCCTCAAGGTAGGTGCATCCCTGTGTGTATTTCTCTGTATTAGGCCTCTGGCATATGTTTTCCCTGTAAAAACTTTTTTTTTTTTTTTTTTTTTGGTCTTTTTGAGACAGGTCTCCCTGTAGCCCCAGCTGTCCTGGAACTCACTATGTAGACCAGGCTGGCCTTGAACTCACAGGGATCCACCTGCCTCTGTGTCCCAAGTGCTGGTATTAAAGGTGTGCGTCACCATGCCCACCCTCCCTGTGAAAACCTTTAAATATAGAGAATCTGTACCTATTAGGAATTGGCCCAATGGCCACTTCTGCCTTTTACAGCTCTTGGACTTTGCTCCTCACTTTGGTCTACCTTTGGACCCACTGTTCCCCATGGTGTTTACAGAGGTGCAATCAATAGGAGAGTATGGGGTAATGAAGGGTTTGTAGGACTGAGGGTTCTTTGTAGTTTTTAGAACAATTTTGTGTTAATATTCCACTTTAAAAAGGTGAGGTATGTGGGGTTGGGGATTTAGCTCAGTGGTAGAGCGCTTGCCTAGCAAGTGCAAGGCCCTGGGTTTGGTCCTCATCTCCGAAAAAAAAAAAAAAAAAGCTGAGGTATGATACAGATATTATAGACAGCTGTGGAATATGTAGCTGGACCTGGTTGTTGTGTGCTTATAAATCTGAGGCATAGGATCTTGAGTTCAAGATCAACCTATGCTACATAAAGAGACCTTTCTCAAAACAAATAAATCAATCCCACTTGTGTCATGAGACCTGGCTAGCTTCTGAGATTTGCTAGAATATTTTGAAATTCTGGGACATACTCTAGAGATATGACAGTCAAGTGTAGCATGTGCTTCTCTGTTGGAGGACAGATCCAAAACAAATTGCTAAAAGGCAATTTAGGGGCTAGAGAGATTTCTCAGCAGTTAAGAGTACTAACTGCTCTGGCAGAGGACTAGGGTTTAGTTCTCAGCAACAACATGGCGGCTAACAACCATCTGTAATTCCAGTTCCAGGAGATCTGATGCCCTCTTCTGGCTTCTGCAGGCATTGTACAACATGAGTTCTTGCATGCAGGCCAAACACTCATACCCATATAGTAAAATAAATTAAAAAAATTTTTTTTGTTCTTTTTGAGACAGGGTCTCCCTGTAACTCCAGCTGCCTGGAACTACTCACTCTGTAGACCAGACTGGCCTCAAACTCATAGAGGATCCGCCTGCCTCTGCCTCCCGAGTGCTGGGATTAAAGGCGCGCACCACCATGCCTGGCAATAAATTAATTTTTAAAACGGCAATTTACAACAATTGAATGAAAATATGTTATATCTTAAATACAATTGTACTGATACTAAATTATTGTGTGCACTGTTACTGTGATTATATCAGAATTATAAGCTGAAGGACAGAGGGTAAGATGCCATGATGCTACAACTTACTTTCAAATGGTTCACCTAAAAATGAGTGCATGTTGCTGTGTGTGTGCGTGTGTGTGTGTATGTGTGTGTGACTTTCTCAACATAGCAGTTTACTTCTTGTACAGTGTATTATTAGTGAAATATCAGCTTGTACATTTTGGAATGATTTAGTCACTCAGTATCTATCCCCCACTCCCTTTCTTTAATATATACATACATGTTCATACTCGTTTTTTGAGCTTTTTTTGAGACAGGATCTCCTTGTAGCCTCAGCTGGCCAAGAACTCCCTATTTAGACCAGGCTGGCCTCAGTCTCACAGAGATCCTCCTGCCTCTGCTTCTGGAGTGCTGGGACTAAAGATGTTAACCACTACACCCAACTACCTTTCTTATTTTTTATCTTAACAAAAATCTTGCTCAGTTGGCCAGGTTGGCCTCAAACTTGCTATCCTCCTACCTCATCCTCTCAAGTAGTTCGTTTTATAGGCGTGTGCTAACTTGCTGTCTGGGTTCTCCCTTTTGAGTTCTTTTGCCTTTGGCACTCTTTTCTGGAGGTCTACTTCACACTTGTGATTCAAGTTATCTGGTCTACCAGGAGATCTCATTTTTTTTTGAGGGGGGCAAAGGGATTTATGTGTTTGTGTGGGTACATGTGTTCAAGCACATGGGTGTGGAGGCTAGAGGAGAACTTGGGGTGTCATTCCTCAGGGGCTTCCCACCTTGTGTTTTGAGACAGAGTTGCTCATTGGCCTAGAACTCACTAAGTAAGCCAGACTCACTGGCCAGCAAGCCACCTGTCTCCCTCCCCCTTCCCAGTGCTGGAATTATAAGCATGTACCACTTACTTAGCTTTTTGATGCAGGTCCTGTGCTCATGTGGCTCAATGAGCTATCTCCTAGGTTTAATCTCTGCCTTTCTTTTTTTAATATTTTATTTATTAATTTTTATTTTCTGTGTGAGTATTGCCTGCATGTGTGTAAGTGCACCCCCTGGGTCATGCAGTGTCCACGGAGGTCAGAAGAGGCTGTTGGATCCCCTGGAACTGGAGTTACAGAGGGTTGTTAGCTGCTGTGTGTGTGCTGGGATTCGAACCTGGGTCCTCTGCAAGTGCAGCCAGTGGTCTTAACTGCTAAGTCATCTCTCCAGCCCCTGTTTCAAATATTGTTTTCATATTCTCTTGATGCCTGTTACTTTCTTCCTTCCTTTTTTTCTTTCCTTTCCCCTTGATTGGATACTAGATATTGCAAATTTTAAAAAATCTTTATTTTTATGTGTATGAGTGTATTGCCTGCATGTATGTGAGTGCACCCGTGTTGTGCAGTGCCACAGAGGTCAGAAGAGGGCTTTGGATTCCCCTGGAACTGGAGTTAAGGACAGTTTGTAGCCACCATGTGGGTGCTGGGAATTGAACCCTGGTCCTCTGCAAGAGCAGTCAGTGCTCTTAACCACTGAGCCATCTCTCCAGCCCTGACATTGCAAATTTTATATTGGCGAATGTTGGCCTTTTTGGAATTCCTTAAATATTTCTGAGATTCATCTGGGGAGCAATAAAAATATGTAGCATCAGTTTGATCCTCCCAAGAATGCAAGTGTGGAATGGGGTGGTGTCTGGCATGCTGTCAGGGAGGAATAAGCCAGGAAGGAGTGGAAGGCAGTCAGCTTAAGGATGACAAGTGTTCCCTTGGGGCACAGAATTATTCTCCATAGAGAATAATAATCATTTCTAGCTTGGAGTTGAGTTGTATTTCAATGGTAAACTTGAATAATGTTGCTGGATTCTTTGTACTATCAAGTTGGGTTTTATTTTTGTTTTTTGTTTTTTTTTTTGGTCTTTTTGAGACAGGGTCTCCCTGTAGCCCCAGCTGTCCTGGATTCACTATGGAGCCCAGGCTGGCCTCAAACTCACAGAGATCTGCCTGCCTCTGCCTTCCAAGTGCTGGGATTAAAGGCGTGTGCCACCACACCCAGCCCATTTCTGAATTTTTTGAATTATTTATTTACTTATTTTTTGTGTGTATGAGTGTTTTGCCTGCATGTATGTAAGTGTGCTACATAGCCCATGAAGGCCAGAAGGTGGTGTTGGATCCCCTGGAACTGGAGTTACAGATAGTTGTTAGCTGCCATGTGGGTGCTAGGAACCAAACCCAGGCCCTCTGCAGGAACAGACAGTGCTCTTAACCACTGAGCCATCTCTCTAGCCCCCTTAAGATTTTTTTTTTAATGTGTATACATGTGTCTGGGTCAGCGTGTGTATGCCACATATGTGGGGGTACCCATGGAGGTCAGAAAAGGGCTTTTACATCACCTGGAACTGGAGTTACAGGGATTGTGAACTGCCTGGCATGAATGTTGGGAACCAAACTTGGGTCTTCTGCAAGGGCAGCAAGCACTCTCGGCTGCTGAGCCACCTCTCCAGTCTCCTTCTTTCAGGCTTCTAAGTTTGCAATTATTGACCATGGAAGGCATAACATCCTATCCAGACTATGTGACAGCAACTAGGCTTCAGGGCCCATGGAGTTGCCAGGGTACCACAGTGTCAATTGGGTTCCATCATCAAGGCCTAGGATTCATTATAGGAGTGTGTGTCAGTTATTCACCCCTCACCTGCCCATCTCTCATTCTAGCCATGGTCAGTGCCTCCACTTCAGAAGTCAGCCATAGTTTGCCCTGGGCTCATAGGTTCTTTTTTAATTTAATCATGTGTATGAGTGTTTTGCCTGCATGTATATAAGTGAACCACTGCTCCGTCCTGTATATCACATCAGTACATGAGACTTTTTAAAAAATATTTTTTATTTTATTTTATGTGTATGTGTGTATTGCCTGCATGTAGGTAAGTGAACCCATGTCTTGCAATGCCCGCAGTGGACAGAAGAGGCTGTCAGATCCCCTGGGACTGGAGTTATGGACAGTTGTTAGCTGCCATATGGGTGCTGGGATTCGAACCCAGGTTTTCTGCAAAAACAGCCAGTGTTCTTTAACCCCTGAGTCATCTCTCCAGCTCTTTTTTTTTTTTTTTTTGTCTTTTTGAGACAGGGTCTCTCTGTAGTCCCAGCTGGCCTGGAACTCACTTTGTAGACCAGGGTGGCCTCAAACTCACAGAGAATGGCCTATTGGGATTACAGGCATGAGCCACATTTTAATATTAAAGAGTGCAAGAATTTTAATATTAAAAAAAGCTGGGGACCTGGAGACTCCCTGACCTGCAGAACAAAGAATCAGTCTGTAACTTCCAAGGTTTTTATTAGCATGGTTAAGTACTCTAAAGCTGGTGTTCAGGTACAAAAGGTAGGCAGATCAAAGGACATTTCTCTGCTGGGACTCAGGAACTATTGGCAACAAAATGTGGCTTGTTTACAAGATAGAGCCTATGTAAACATAAGGGACACATGCCTCTCCAGCTTTGCCATCACAGACACTCTTGGCTGATGGTGACTTTACAGATATGCCAAGCATGCTTTTGGTAGAGTTCAAACAGGGCAGTGGTCTCCACCACACATGTGCATGTAGTGCCTGTGAAGGCCAGAAGAGGGCATCAGATCATCTGGAACTGGAGTTATAGCAGGTTGTTAGTCATCATGTGGGTGCTGGGAACTGAACCTGGGTCCTCTCTACAAAAGAAACCAGTGCTCTTAACTGCTGAGTCATCTCTCCAGCCCTACCCATAGGTTTTTAATCTGAGGCTTCCTTGGAACCATAGGTGATAGAGAATGTGTCTGTCATTTTAGGAACAGGTAACTTTCAAGGACGTGGCTGTAGACTTCACCCAGGAGGAGTGGGGTCGACTGGATTCTCCTCAAAGGGCCCTGTATAGGGATGTGATGCTGGAAAACTACCAGAACCTTCTTGCCCTCGGTGAGACAGCTCCCCCAGCCTAGATGTCTCTTGTCAGCCTTCTTTCATGTTGTGTGTTATAGAGGACCCTTCAGCACCAGTGTTGGTGTCAGACATGGCCTGAGTTGCAACACATGCCCTCAGTTTCAATATGCCTGAGCCAGGGCTTAGCCATACCAGAAGTCCGCACAGTGCAGTGTGGTAGCTGGCAGCATCCTGACTTGGAGCTGTGGCTGGTCCCAGAGGCTGGCCATGCAGGAGAGGAAGGGCTGCTGAAGAAAGAAGGTGGGACCTAGGAGCCTTCAAGCCCACCTACCCCAGAGCTTTCTCAGGCAACAAAAGGAGGGTGTTACATGGGATCTTAAGAGTATGTGCTGTTGTGTGGGGTCTGTGTCTGAGACCCTTCACTATTTGGGGCCCGGAGGTTTCTTGTTCCACTGGTCTTTGTTCACAGGTTGTCCTGTGAGGTCTCTGACTTGAGAACCACAGCACACCCAGTCCTGCTGCTTTCTCCCCCAGGAGCAGGGCTGCCACTCCATAAGCCAGATGTGATCTCCCATCTGGAACGAGGCGAGGAGCCCTGGCAACTGCACAAGGAAGTCCCAGGAGAGGTTTGTCCAGGTAAGCATATGTCACAGGTAAAGCGTGACAAACCTCTCCCTGTCCCTTCTTCCTGGCTTGCTCTATTTTCTTCCCTCAGCCCCAGTGCTTTCTCCATGCTCCTGTCAGCCCCTTCCTCTCTTCAACATGTGTTGAGTACCACCTGTGCACCCAACTATGCAGGAATACATAGAGTGAGAAAACCTAACCCAAACCTCTGCTTTCTGACAGCGGGCAGGGAGACAAACAGTAATACAGCAGTGTTTATATGAGGTTTTAACAAGTGGGGTGTTGCACTGAAGTTTCTTCCCTTTTCATTTCTTGGGAGGCTCCACGTGCACCCTCCCAAGGTCCCAAGGCTCACAGACATTTTTAGTTTGGGTTTTGCATGGGCCTTTATGAGAGGATGATTTACAAAGAAACCAAGGAGTGATTGGTCCGATCACTTCCACCACCCGCTCACAGTCTCCCTTAGCTTTGGGCCCACTGTCTCACCCCAGGTCTGTAAATGCCCCATCTCACTTCCACACTTACAGGATGCCCCTGCCATTTGCCGGGGATGCAGCACCAGGGAGAGAGAGGGCAGCAAGGCTCTATCTGGTGTACATACTCCTTGGCTGAAGGAGGGTCATGGACAGGTCCTAAGTGGAAGACTGCCGTACTTTTTTTTAAAAAAATACTGTTTTTTGGTTGGTTTTTTTTTTTTTTGTCTTTTTGAGACAGGGTCTCCCTGTAGCCCCAGCTATCCTGGAACTCACTATGTAGACCAGGCTTGTTGTTTTTTTTTATGTGTATGTGTGTATTGCCTGCATGTATATAAGTGCACTCATGTTGTGCGATGCCCGTGGAGGACAGAAGAGGCCGTCAGATCCCCTGGAACTGGAGTACTGGAGTTATAGACAGTTGTTAGCTGCCATGTGGGTGCTGGCATTTGAACCTAGCTCTTCCACAAGAACAGTTCTTAACTGCTGAGTTGTCTCTCCGGCCTTGCCATATCTTTTATTTTTGAATCAGAAAAAATGGGAGTGGGTGAGATAGGATCTCACTGTAGCACAGGCTAGCCTTGAACTCACTATGTGGTCAGGCTTGTTTCAAACTCAAGGTAATCCTCCTGCCTCAGCCTCCCAAGTACTAGACTTATAGATATGAGCTACCACACATTGCTTCTCAAACATTTTCTTTTTTAGATACTTCTGTTTTAAAAGTTGTTTAAGGAATAAGTGAATTAAATCATTTCAGTTAAATTGAATGAACAGAAAACACTGAGTTGTTAGGCCTCGGGAGCTTGAGAAACACATTTTGGGGATAAGAGGCCAAAAGCAGTAAATATAAAGCCATGTGTCCTAGACCAAGGGCACTGTGCCCAGCTAGGTGGGTACAGAGTAAGGTGGGCTTCTCTGCTCCTTAGCCCCACCTCCTTCCTCCTCACACCCCAGGCCCCAAACCTGCAGCATGGTGGCCACAGCCCAAGGTCTTGGACTTGGTCTCTTGCCCCAGCTTCTTTTGTCTTCTCTGCCCTCTTTACCAAAATACATTTTTTAAAAATTTTTATTTATTATTTTTGTTTTATGTGTATTCATGTATTGCCTACATGTAAGTAAGTGCACCCATGTTGTGCAAGGCCCACGGAGGTCAGAAGAGGCTGTCGAATCCCCTGGGACTGGAGTTATAGACAGTTGTTAGCTGCCATGTGGGTACTGGGATTCGAACTCAGGTCTTCTGCAAGAAACACCAGTGTTCTTAACTGCTGAGCCATCTCTCCAAAACTACATTTTTAAGTAGTTGTTTTGTTTGTTTAATACATGTGTTTCCTGAAAATTAGGATAATATAGAAGAATATTGAAATCCCACATAATTTTTCTTCCCAAAGAAAACTATGTCTTACCTCACTGTGTCTCCTGAGTTGTTTAGCACAGCCAGCCCTCCACACATCGGGTTCCCCATCTACAGATTCAACCAACCTCAGATTGAGAATATTAGGGGAAAAATTTCATCTGTCCTACACATACCCAGACTTGTTTTGTTTGTCATCCTCTTTGAGGTACAGATAACACCTATTTCTACAGCATTTCCATTGTATCAGGTATTGTAAGTCATCTAAAGATGAGTTAAGCATCTATGTGGATATGAGTAGAACTATAGCACCATTTGCATAAGGGATCTGGGCTTTCCCAGGTGTGTAGTGTGTGAGACGTCCTGGGGAGGGACGGCAGTGGACAGATGGATGCACTGGGAATCTTAGTTTCCTCACACTGACTACACAGTGTTCCCTTCTCCAATGTGCTGTCATTTCATCAGTAGTGTTGCCACTACTTTTTATCTGACTTGGACCCCTTCTCCTTCTTCTGTATACCTGTTAGAGACTTACCATCTGCCTGCACTTTAGTGACAAGGGCTGTCACCTTCCTGTAACCTCACACTGCTCGCCATCAGATGGGCTTCTGCAATCACATTCCATTCGCTGGCCCTTTTTCACACATCTGAAATGAGATGAAAACTTACCCTCCCCACCTACCTTTGGAAAAGCTTCCATCTCCCACCTAGATTTTGCCTTCCAACCTCCTTCCTACCACCTTTTGTGTCTGTTCATTCTCACAGCCACCACTCTAAAGAGACTTCTTTTGCCTAGCTACCCATGGCCTCCTTACCCAGTCTCTGGTGACTAGTCCTGCAGTAGCTCCTGTGCATAGCACCAGAGCCATCTTTAACGTGCACCTTTATAAATATGTTGCCCACTGTGTAGAAAGCCCCCCCTCCCTAGGTCCCTCTGTTTCAGCCTCGTCACCAGCACTTAACTGCCTTGCTAGGGCCACTGTCCCCACTTTTGCAGCGCATCCTCACTTCCCATCTTGCCTATGCTCTTCTGCACATGCTATTCCCTCCACACAGGCTCTCTCCTGCTCTCCCTGCATCTGGCTGCCTGCTGTCTACCCTTCAGAAGCTAATTCTGCCCATCCAGCCCCTCCTCCCTGCAGTTTCAAACCCCAACACTGCATAGTACTGTGGCTCTGCCCACTGCAGTAGACTGTTGAAAGATCTTCAGGAAGATAGCTTAGATGAAATCGCTTGCCAGCACAGAGCCCAACTCCACAGATACAGTAGGAAAACTCTTTTCATGTGGAGCACTCCAGTGTTTAAGTTAATATAATGCCTGTCCCTGCTCAGACAGGCAGATGCAACCCATTCAGTATGGGCTGTCTTCCTCCAAGAGTAAATGCAACTTGTATCTTTTTGAGAATCAGTGTTTCATCTTGAACTAAATGCCTACAGAACTGGGAGGAAAGGAGTCCAGTTAGACACAAGTAGTGGATTGCTCCTGGCTGATGAAATGGTAGGCCTGTCAGATAAGGGGTACTGTACTGTAGTCAGTGGTGAGTAAGGAAATGAGATTCAGGATGTCACGCTCCTTCATGTACACCTCTCACAGAGTAGCTCCAAGAAAGATGTCCCAGGGTGGGAAGCCAACTAGACGCTTGCTGCACTTGTCAAAAGCTGTTCCTGCATCTCCCAGCCAGACAGCAGTTCCTGCTGTTCTGAGGGAGCAAATGAGGGGTCGGATCGAAGGAGGCCTCTTTCCCTTTGGCCACCACAGAAATGTTCGATCATGCCTTTAGGCAGGTGTTTACTCCAGTGCCATCCACAAAGTCCATCAGTGGGTGTTTCCACCATTGAATTGGCTCCTAGTCCCAACTCCCAGGGCTGGGCTGGTGTCTCAGCCCTCTGGGCATTGCTTTGAAGCCTCTCTCCTGGGGTTTCCAGTGGCCTCTCTGCCTAGCTGTGTCTTCGATTGTGGAAGGCTCTTTCAGCTGTTCCCCATCATCCCTGGCACTCCCTTTTGTCTCCTTTTGTATCTTTAGGCTCTTTTTTTTCTACTTTTCTGGCTTACCTGCATCTCCAAGTCAGTAATCCAGCCTGGGTTCTAGGGCCATGCATCCAGAAGATTCCATTTCAATCTCTTACAGAGTGTGAGGTGAGGCCTGAGATGGAGGAAGAGTCCTTTCCACAGCAGAACCTGTGCAAAGCAGAGCTGTCTTCGAAGCCCGTTCTGGAGCCACTGAAGGCGCCGGGCCTGCTGGGAGTTGGCCTGGGTCGGGCATGGGCTTGGGAACTGCAGGCTGATACTCTATGGAGGAGCAGGGCTGTGCCATGGAGGCCAGCACCTGCTGCCAGTGGGGACATCCCCATGAAGGAGAGTTACTGGGGACACAGTGAGGGTAAGGAGGCCTTTCCCCTGGGGTGCCCCCTTTCCACAGAACACTCACCTGCCAGGTGCACCAAGGACATGCAGCCCACGGAGGGGATGACTCAGAGCCATCAGGGAACAAACTTCCAGTCCGCTGAGCCCAAGCAGTCCACACGGGAGCACAGGCAGCGTGGGGTCGGCGCCCACAATGGGGAGAGCATGTTTACATGCAGCCAGTGCGGGAAGGTGTTCCCGCAGAGTGCCACTTTGGCGCTGCACCTGCGCTGGCACAGCCGCGAGAAGACTTTCAAATGCCACGACTGCGGCAAGGCCTTCCCCTGGAGCACCAACCTCGTGGAGCACCAGCGCAGCCACACCGGCGAGAAGCCCTTTTTCTGCAGTGAGTGCGGGAAGGCCTTCAGCTGCCACTCCTCGCTCAACGTACACCACCGCATCCACACGGGAGAGAGGCCCTACAAGTGCAGCGCCTGCGAGAAGGCCTTCAGCTGCAGCTCGCTGCTCAACATGCACCGCAGGGTCCATACCGGGGAGAAGCCTTACGCGTGCGCAGACTGCGGCAAGGCCTTCAACCAGCGGACTCACCTCACTCGCCACCACCGCATCCACACCGGGGAAAAGCCCTACAAGTGCAGCGCGTGTGGCAAGGCCTTTACCTGCCACTCATCGCTCACGGTGCACGAGAAGATCCACAGCGGTGACAAGCCGTTCAAGTGCGCAGAGTGCACCAAGGCCTTCAACAGCCGAGCGCGCCTCATCCTGCACCAGAGGACGCACACTGGAGAGAAGCCCTTCAAGTGCTCTGACTGTGGGAAGGCCTTCAGCTGCCACTCGTACCTCGTGGTGCACCAGCGCGTCCACAGTGGCGAGAAGCCCTTCAAGTGCAACGAGTGCGGCAAGGCCTTCAGCTCGCACTCCTATCTCATCGTGCACCAGCGCATCCACACTGGCGAGAAGCCCTTTGACTGCAGCAGGTGCTGGAAGGCCTTCAGCTGCCACTCATCGCTCATCGTGCATCAGAGGATCCACACCGGCGAGAAGCCCTACAAATGCCACCAGTGTGGCAAGGCCTTCAGCCAGAACCACTGTCTCATTAAGCACCAGAAGGTTCACTCCGGGGAGAAGGTCTTCAAGTGTGGCGAGTGTGGGGAGGCATTCAGCTGGAGCTCCCACCTTCTGGAACATCAGAGGTTGCACCGAGAGAAGAAACCCTTCACCATCCAGTTCAACAGGCGCCTGCTTAGCACCTACTACGTGCCTAGCAGCCTTCTGGGAACAGGGAACACACAAGTGGGTGACATGGACTCCATAAACACCCTGGAGATGGCATAGCTCCTGTGTGTGGTACAGCCTCCTACTGGTAGAAATGTGCCCCTGGAGAGCAAACCTGGTGATTAGGGTGACGCACAGTGGCCACTTCTCAAGTTACCCAACCATGATGTCATCAACTCTGGGCCCTCAAAACCACACTGCTGTCTCTCCAGGTGCAAAAGCCTGGCCTGGCTTTGAAGAAGTTCCACAAGCCATTACCCTCCCCCTAGAGACAGTCACTCCTGGGAAAAGAGGCAAAACCATCTGAGAATGTCCCACCATCATGTTTTCCTTAATGGGCCAGAGGTCATTGAAAAGGGAGTATCTTTTTGTATGTATTTTGATACAGGGTTTCATTCTGTAGCCCAGACTGGCCTGCAACTTAGTAGCGCAGGCTGTCCACAAACTCCTTGCATTCCTCCTGCTTTAGCCTCAGACTGCTGGGATTACAGTTATGAGCCATCACACCAGCAACAAGGGAATATCTTGCCTGCCTACAAAAAGAAGACATTATCAACTGTTGAGTCCTTAGGCTCCTGGCCTGGTTTCTATCAGGAAATTATCATGCCAATAATAATAAAATCAGAAGAATTGCAAACAGCATTACTTCCATATAAACACTGTTACAATTGATATGAGAGGGTAATCACAAACAGTAGGCATTTGGAAAAGAGCAAATATTCTGGATTTGCTCCAAATATGTCACCTACTCCAGAGTCATCTGTTAGTGTCAACTCATTGAGGACATCCCCACAGCAGCCACCGTGTAGCCAGGTCCTGACATGTCAACATCACATTTTGGCATATAGTCCCCAGTTAGAAGTCGGGAGCACCCAGGGGAATACCCAGTTCATCCAGGGAAGATGGGCACAACCTGTACAGATATGTCTAGAAGCTCACTCACTGACCAGCACTGGTATCCACCCAGATATCCAGCCATCAGCCCTCCCCTTGGCCCACTTAAGGGGGTCTCCTCTGTAAGGCCCCAAGGCCAATGGATCAGTGCCACCCTACATGGGCCTGTTGTACAAGCCCTATAAATAGCCACTGTCCCCTGTCTTTATATAAATAAAGAGGCTTGAAATGGGTTCCATCCTAGTAAACACATCGTGAGGTGAAAATATTCTAATTGGAAAAGAATTTAACCTACCTAACTGACCAAATACTGCAGCTTAGCCACAAAGTACAATGGAATATTGGCACTCTCTGACATGTACAAGATTCAGTGGATATCACTAGCCCAGGAGATCAAACTTCAAAGCAAGATTCTACTGAGTGCCTATTACACACACCATTTCTACTTAATCTTGTGCAGAGAAAGAGCTTTCTTGGTGACAATAGTCTACACTTTGTACAGAGCACTGTAGTTTACAGCATGCTTTCTGCACACTTGAAATAACAGGCAGAACAGCATGTTTCAGGAAATGTGAATTTAAAACAGCTGTCTTTTTTTTTTAATAAAATGGAGGAGTCTCAAGCCAGGTGTGATGGTGCATGCCTTTAATACCAGCACCCAGGGGGCAGAGGCAAGCAGGTCTCTGAGTTCAAGGTCAGCCTGGTCTATATAGTGAGTTCCAGGCCAACTGGAGCTACAAGGAGACCCTGTCTCAAAAAAAAGGAAAAAAAAAAGATGGAGGAGTCTCAGGATGATGAAATGGCAAAGCCAGTGAAGGCACCTGATGACCTGGACTTAATCCTTGGGACCTGATGGTGGAAGAAGACTGATTCCTGCAAGTTGTCCTCTGACCTCTATGTGTATAAGTTGTGCACATGCATGTGCACACACATACATGCACACAAACAAATGTAATAAAATTGTGAAAGAGTCTTATGTAGTCCTGATTAGCCTCAAACTCACTTGTAGCCAAGTACAACCTTGAACTCCTGAGCCTCCTACTTCTGCCTCCTATATGCACCATCATGCTTAGTTTTTAAAACAAAATGAAAGGAGGACTTAGTGACTTAGTTCAGTGGTAGAATACTTACACAGCAAGCACAAAGCCCTGGATTCAGTCCCCAACACCATAAGAAAAAAAATTTATTTGAACAACCATAATTTGTAATAAATTCGCCTTTTACACTTTGATGCACTGCCTTCTGCTGTTTTTCTTACATGTTATTTTAAAGGTATGCTTTATTCTTTAGTGATGCTATGGTATTGCAGATTTTTTTTTCCACAAATAACTGTGTCTGTGTGTGTGTGTGTGTGTGTGTTAGTTATATGCACCCATGTGCATACTAAAGGCCAGAGGTTGATGTTAGGTATCGCCCTCTACTGCTGCCCACTTTTTGTTTTTTTGAGACAGGTCCTGACTGGTCTGGAACTCACTATGTAAACTAGGCTGGTCTTGAATGCAAGAGATTTACCTGCCTCTGCCTCCAGAGTACTGGGATTAAAGGCATGATCCATTACACCAGGCTTATTTTGGTGGGGTTTTTTTTAATATTTTATTTATTATTTTTATGTGTATGAGTGTATTGCCTGCAAAAAAGTGAGTGCACCTGTGTCATGCAATGCAGCAGAGATTAGAAGAGGGCTTCGGATTCCCCTGGAACTAGAGTTAAGGATAGTTCGTAGCCGCCATGTGAGTGCTGGGAATTGAACCCAGGTCCTCTGCAAGAGCAGTCAGTGCTCTTAACTGCTGATCTCTCCAGCCCCTTTTTAAAAAAAAATTTATTATTTTAAATTATGTATAATGTGGGGGTGGTGTATGTGCACATTTATGCGGTATCCAAGGATGCCAGAGGCAACAGACAGATCCCCCTGGAATTGGAGTTACAGGCAACTGAGACACAAGATGTAGGTGCTAGGAACCAAGTCGGGCCCTCTGCAAAAGCAGTATGCACTCCTAACTGCTGTACCAACTCTCTAGCTCCTTACCTTATTTTGCTGAGAAAGGCCTCTCTCTGTAGCACTGACTGGCCTGGAACTTGCTATGTAGACCAAGTCTCAAACTTGTAGGTATCCTCCTGTCTCTGCCAAATGTGAGCCACTCTTACAAATGTGAGCCACTATGCTCAGCTTTGCCATTTTCATGCATCAAGAATGTTCTCTGGGGGGCAGATCTGGCTTTGGTAGGCTAAGACTGAGATCCTAGCAGACAGCCAGAGAAGGTGGGTTCGGACCTCAATCCGTGTAGAGGCCCTGATCTCAGCAGATCCCCAGAGAATACAGAGTTCTGGCCTCCCTCAGGCAGAGGGCCTGGAACACAGGAGACTGCCTGAGAGCCCCCATGCTGCCTCCACGTGGTGGTGAGCTTCCCCTAATTGCACCATACCCATCCCCCTACCTGGGATTCCATAAGGCCCCTCCCAAGGCCCCAGGGCAGATTTGGCTTTGGTAGGCTATGGCTGAGATCCTAGCAGACAGCCTGAGAGGGTGGGTTCTGACCTCCATCAGTGTAGGCTCTGATCTCAGCAGAGAGTACCCAGTTCTGGCCTCCCTCATGCAGAGGGCCTAAGAACTTAGGGGACCACCTGAGAGCCCCAGGATCCTGCCTCCATGTGGTAAAGGAAGCCTGGGTGTACTTGATTGGAACGTGAATTGGGCTTCTGTGGGTACCCCTGAATAGCTGATCTGAAGCTATCAGTTCCCTCCAAATTAAACCTGAGAGAACCTGAACCCTGTACCAACCAGCTTTACATAACCAATAAAGAAAGGATCTAGGCACCCGGATAATACAAACAGAAGCATACTTCAACTTAATTCTCATATCAGAATCATAAACAACAAAAGAAACTGACATGCCAAAATCAGAACAAAGGAATAACAAAATGGAAAGCCAAAACACGATGCCCCCACCAAACTCCACCAATCCTGTAGAAGAATTGTACAGGGAGAACCACCTAGCAATAACCCAGGACACTGAATTTAAAAGAATGCTCCGGTGATGGCCCTGAGTGGAAGAGGGAAGTGAGGCCGGCGCTGGGCTGGCCTGGGTTGGGCTGAGCCTGCTGAAGGAAAGGCCTGCGCTGCTCTTGATCTAGGATGTCGAAGAACTCAGTGTCATCGGCCTACTTCCGGAAGGTGGACATGGATAAGTACGATGAGAACAAGTTTGTGGACGAGGAAGACAGGTGCGATGGCCAGGCAGGGCCAAGGAGGGCAAGGTGGACTCCTGCCTGCCCCAAGGAAACATGACGCAAGGAAACATGACGGCTGCTCTCCAGGCAGCTCTGAAAAAACCCCTTATCAACACAAAGAGTCAGGCGGTGAAGGATCGGGCAGGCAGCATTGTCTTGAAGGTGCTCATCTCTTTTAAAGCTAATGACATTGAAAAGGCTGTTCAATCTCCAGACAAGAATGGTGTGGACTTCCTAATGAAGTATATTTATAAAGGCTTTGAGAGCCCATCTGACAATAGCAGTGCTGTGTTATTACAGTGGCATGAAAAGGCACTTGCTGGAGGAGTAGGGTCCATCATGTAGTCCAGCCGGAAATGGACGTCAGTCACAGGGTGGGAGTTGCTGGTACAAAGACCAAAACAACCAAATGTTACTGCTGCCCTGTGGGCAGCATCTGTTTCTCTCAGCTTTGCCTTCTTGCTTCCTTTTTCATATTTATAAAGAAATTACATATCAGTTTTCCTTTAAGGAAAATTGGGATAATGTAGAGAAAATTTGATTTAGCAGGAGCGTTTGATCCTTTCATAACCATGTCAATAATGTATATACAAGAATAATTTATATTCATGTTTGTGCAATTTCTAATCCTGTTGGCTGGTTTCGGGATTTTACTTTATTTTTAATTAATAACTGAGAGATCTGATCAGAATTTGAGGCCAGTTTCCTAACTCATGAGTCAGGAAGTGATGTTTGTTTTTAAAAATAAGAGATTGGACTGGGCTTGGTGGCACATGCCTATAGTCCCAGCACTTGGGAGGCAGAGGCAGGCGGATCTCTGTGAGTTCAAGGCCAGCCTGGTCTACATAGTGAGTTCCAGGACAGATGGGGCTACAGGAGACCCTGCTTCAAAAAGACAAAGAGAGAGAGAGAGAGAGAGAGAGAGAGAGAGAGAGAGAGAGAGAAAGAAAGAAAGAAAGAGAGATTGGCAGCTATTAACATTGCAAAACTGGACTATGCTTATTTACATTATTTAAGCAAAATATACTTCCAGAACAAGTAGTGGGTGAACCCCACAACCAGTTTTCCAGCTTTATTTCTGCTTGCCTGCAGATGATGCTGTGAGTGTAAGTGTGCTGCTTCCCATCAGCATCCAGTTACCATCGCCTCTTAATTCCTTGTGGTCATCCAGGGTCCAGAACAAGAAGTCTTGCTCTATGTAAATGTATTTACAAAATTTCAGAGCCTATTTGGTACAAATATCACACTTTTGTTCCAATAATAAGTCTATCTTGGGAAATTACTCCAAGTCAGAAAGGATGTAAAAACCAATGTAATTCAAACTCCAGCAGCCTCCAAATAATACAAAAATATCACACTTTTGTTCCAATAACAAGTCTATCTGGGGAAATTACTCCAAGTCAGAAAGGATATAGAAACCAATGTAATTCAAACTCCAGCAGCCTCCGAATGATACAGTATACTTTCTTCAGAAATAAGGCAGCTGCCTTAGACACTTGTACAAGTGCTCACTATAGCACTTAATGTGCCCTATAAATGTCATCAGTGTTTTTCAGGTAATCTGGATGTAGGGATTTGGTTCCAATACAAACAAGTACATATTCTATGTTTCAGCTCAGTATTTTTTAAGGAGTGACAATGCCACACAGTAAAAAAGTGTTTACTTTGTTGGACAAACCAAATCGGTTTTCAAAATATGACCAGTGCTTATAAAAAGTTATCATAAAGTAGTTCCAAAACAAACCACCCAAATGCATATGACCCAAGAGGGAAATCAGCCTGTGTTTCACTGGCTTATGTGAGAACTGGTGCAGGAATTCTCTATAAACTCTGTTTTTGATACCTGCTTTTTGTTTTGTTCTTGTTTTGTAAAAATGATAAACTTCAGAAAATAAAATGTCAGTGTTGACTAAAAAAAAAAAAAAGAACAACCATAAACATGATCAAGGAATTCAATGAATTTAAAGAACACACGAACAAACAAATCAAAGAGCTAAAAGAAGATAGGGATAAACTTCTGAATGAATTCACAAAAGAGATAGAAACATTGAAGAAAACTCAAGCAGAAATGAAGAGGGAAGTGTAAAACTCAATAAGCCAACTTGAAACAACAGGAGAAAGTCTCACAGCTAGACTGAATGAAATGGAAAACAGATTATCACCACTGGAGGATAAAGTTGAAGAACTGGACCACTCAAGCAAAGAGTATGGAAAAATTTTAAAAACACAGAAATGGAATATGCAAGAGATGTAGTACACCATGAAAAGACCAAATCTACAGATCATAGGAATACAGGAAGAGGAAGAATTTCAGGTTAATGGTGTTGACCGGATCTTAAACAGGACTAGAAGAAGAGAACTTCCCAAAATTAAGGAAAGACATCCCCATACAAATACAGGAAGCACATAGAACACCAAATA